GCTTTGTAGACATTGTGCACATGTTCATTCAAAACAACTCAACTGAACTGAGCAGATGAAACATTCCAGCTAAGAATATTAGCACTGCTTACCCTTACAGAAGGGGCTTCCCTCATAGCTCAGTCAGTAAAGAATCTGCCTGCAATGCAGGAGATCCAGGTTCAATTCCTGGGTCAGGAAGATCCCCCGGAGAAGGAAATGGCAACCCACTTGCCTGAAAAATCCCATGGGCAGGGGAGCCTGGCAGGCTACAGTCCATGGGGTCACAAGAGTTGGACACAACTTAGTGACTAAATCACCACCAGCCTTACAGAGACTGGAGAGCGAGTTCAATGTCCTTTATTAATCAGTCCATGGTGGTAGTTTTACATTGGCATTTGTTTTGGTAAACTTTCCTCTGAAGCACTGTGAGCCTTGTCGTATGTGTCTCCAATGCTTGCCATGAGGTTTATTTGTGGTAGTATAAATACCTTTTTCCCCCTCACATTTTTGTTAATGCTCCTGCTTTTCTTTTTATACTATTCTAGAAAATGACACATTAAGAAGTGATCATGATAATGCAACTCTGGACTTGTCTTCTGGCAATTTGGGACTTATAAAAATATGCCGTGCTGGGCTAAGTCTCTTCAGTCGTGTCCAACTCTGTGCGACCCTATGGACTGTAGGCCACCAGGTTCCTCTGTCCATGGGATTCTCCAAGAACACTGGAGTGGGTTGCCATTTCCTCCTCCAGGGTCTTTTCCTGACCAAGGGATCGAACCCAAATCTCAAGTCTCCTGCATTGGCAGGTGGGGTTTTTTACCACTACATATAACCATAATTTTTTGCCACATATATAACTATATTTTAACTGCTATATTCACCTGTTACGTTCACTGTCCAGTTAAACATGTCCTCAGTTGAAAAGAAAAATCTTAGAAAGAAAGAAATTTGATACCACTGAAGTTATTAGAATTTATCTAGTCTATCTGAAGGTGGTTTTACATGAGGAGGTTCAGATTATTTTCAACAGATTCCAATCATAATTGGACAAGGGTTTATATGCAGGAAGGGGTTAATTACACAAGTGTCTGTTGATACGTAAAATAGATTTATTCCTCCATTTTTTTGGAACACATTCCCACTACATATAATTTGGAGCAATTCAACACTGAATCACTTGCTGAGAGAACAAACAGAACAGTAATTAAGAAACAGGGTGAATCAGTTTGAAAAGCAATGCCATACAGGGAAAGGAAGAGATGTTTCCAATGACAAAATCTCAGTAATATGGTCACTGCCATTATTATTAATAATTAAAATAATGATAATAATAATTCTTACTATTTGTACAATGATTTTCTACTTGGAAATCAAGATGGGAAGGGAAGGGAAGAGATGTTTCCAATGACAAAAAATCAGGAATATGGCCACTGTCATTGTTATTAATAATTAAAATAATAATAATAGTAATTCTTACTATTTGTACAATGATTTTCTGCTTGGCAGCTCAAAGTAATAAAATACTTCATCATTTCTCTCTCTAAGAGCTTATCAAGTTAGGAAGGGACTGTAGTTCTTAGCCTTGTCTTTCACATGCAGAAAATAAGGGAGAGGATGGGATCTGCTGGTGTCACACTGTACAGTAAATAAGCTGGTGGTCAGAATAAAAAACACACTCTCTTAATTGTTTATTCAGAGTGTTTTTTTGGATTCTCTTGGTTTATTCTATGCTATCCCTATTATTTCCCTCAAAGCCACCAAAGACAGAGCATCTCTAAAATAGTTTTGAAAGGTGGGAGAGAGGAACAGAAGACGCAGTAGTATCTCAAACAGGTTAGTGATAGGAACTCCATGAAAAGGCATGTATATTAAAGCATGTATATGGGATCTAGAAAAAGGGTACAGCTGAATCTATTTGCAGGGCATAAATAGAAATGCAGGTGTAGAGAATGGACATGTAGACATGGGTGGGGGAAGGAAAGGGTAGGACAAATGGAGAGAGTAGCACTGATATATATACACTATCATGTGTAAAATAGTTAGCTAATGGGAAGCTGGTGTATAGCACAGGAAGCTCAGTTCAGTGCTATGACCCAGAGAGGATTGGGTGGGGAGGATGGGAGGTAAGTTCAAGAGGGAGGGAATACATGTACACATATAGCTGATTCACTTTGCTCGGCAGCAGAAACTAACACATTATAAAGCATCTATACTCTAATCAAATTTTTTTTAAAAGACATGTATAACTGTCCTACTTAGCTTCTCTCTCTCTCATTTATTTGAAAGCCATGATATCTCCTTTTAAAAAGAATCCATCATAACATAAAAACTACATAAGTTAAAAGTTGCTCACTTACTTTTATTTCACTTCTTACTATTAAAAATTTTGTGTTTTTCTAATATAGTTCTCTGCACACACATATGTATTTTTGTTATTAACATTTATGAAAGCCAAACATAGGATGCATATTATTCTGCAACATTTTTTCATTAAAATAATTTATTGGCCTTTTATATGCTGATACAGGTAAATACTACCTTACAAATTTAGTGGCTGCACTTTTAAATTTTCTATCTCAATGAAAAGTTATTGTAGAATATATATAACTTCTGTCTTATATTTCACAATTTTATGCTTTCATTTGATGATTATGTCAATTGTTTCCTACAATTATAAATTATATTCTTCTTCTGGCATGTGTTGAAATTGGTTAAGAAGCCTTTCCCTCCCCACATTCCCTCTAACATTTTGCTTATGTCTGCTGTGCACATCTCCTTTCTTCTGCAACAAGTGAATAGCAAGCATTCAGGGATGGAGGGACAGGAATCAGTTTATAAGCTTCTCAAGCACGTCTTCACATAAGAAATATGCAGAAGTGCAGAACTCTTTTTATACTTCAGTAATTGTCATTCTAGGAACAGGTGTTTGGAATCCCACCTAAAGGAGAACTGGAGATGGAAGAGACTGGGGAGAGGAAGATAAAGTTTCCTTGGCTATAGCCCCATGGGGAAATGACAGAACCAAGGGAGGAGACCAAGTAGATCCCTGGAGCCTTCACTACATCCCAGTGACTTCAGCAGGGGCAGAGGTCTCTAGTGATGACACTATTGACTTCTGTGACAGTGTTCCCACTGAACAGGACATTGAGACAGAGTCAAGATGGGATGAAGGTGTGCCAGCGACCAAAATGATTAGACCACTTCCTAGTCCTGTATCAAGCTCCCCTGGTGGCCCAGTGGTAAAGAATCTACCTGCTAATGCGGAGATGTGGGTTTAACCCTTGGGTCCAGAAGATCCCCTGGAGGAGGCAACCCATTCCAGTATTCTTACCTGGGAAATCCCAGGGACAAAGGAGCCTGGTGGGCTATAGTCCATGGGGTCACAAAAGAATTGGATATGACTTAGTGACTAAACAACAAGTCCTGAACCACCAGGAAATGGAGTCCCCTTGATTTCTGTAAGCAACAATTATTTACTGTAAAATTCTTCACAATTTTCAAGAAGTTTTCACATTCAAGATTTCATTCGGGGTCCTACAGTCAACCAGGTGCTTTCGACAGTGGGTGGCCTGTCACTTATTGCCAGATGGCGGAACTTAGTTCAGGGTCTAAATAACTTGTCCAAGCTGGTAAGGAAAGAGTTGGACTTGGAATTCTCTTTATTATGAATCCACCCCACGTGGTCCTCCAGGATAACCCTGTCCTTTCCCCCAGTTCTCATGTACCAGACTTCTGTGGAGATAAGAACATACGCCTTATTTCTACCAGCATGATAAATACTCCTAGAAATGGAAAATAACAGCATCGTGATTCAACAACTGGGCCCACTCTGACTTCATTTTCTCTAACTTTTGAGTTTGTTTAGAAACTATTGTAACACAAGGGAATGGTAACTTCACTAATCAAACAAAAAGCAGGTTGATCAGCATTTTTCAGTAACTTATTTTTGAAAGCAGAACAAATGGGAGGGGTTGAGAAAGTTTTATGCAGAGGAGATTTCCTGCAGCATTGCTGAAGTTTAGAGGTAAACATCAGTTCAAACACTCTGGCTCTGTAGAAAAGACCTCTGTTTCTTTTCTAGAGTTATGTGTATCCTTGAAGTTTGTTTCAGAAAAATATTATGAGAATAGAATTAGTAGCTTTGCCTGGAACCTGATATGGTTCAAGCTGTAACATATATCATGTGTATGCTAAGTTACTTCAGTTGTGTTTGACTCGATGGGATCTTCCTGACCCAGAGATTGAGTGTTTCCTGTATTGGCAAGGAGGTTCTTTACCACTAGTGCCACTTGTGAAGCCCAAAAGTTTAGGATTTAGGGAGTTCCCTGGTGGTCTGTGTGTTTAGTCATTCAGTTGAATCCAACTCTTTGTAGCCCTTTGGCCTGTAGCCCACCAAGGCTCCTCTGTCCATGGGAGGAATTCTTTTCCAGGCGAGAATACTGGAGTGGGTTGCCTTTTCCTTCTCCAGGAGCTCTTTCAGTCCTAGGACTTGAACCTGCATCTCCTGTGTCTGTTGCATTGCAGGCAGATTTTTTACTTCACTGAGCCCTCAGGGAAGCCCTAATATGTATCATAGGCCATTTAAAATTCTATGATGGAAACAGGCTTTAAACATTTTCATAGCTTGTACAGTGCCTAAAAGTAGCTTGCATGTGACCACTCAGTAAATCATAGCGAACTCTTACACTGCACTTGCTACATGCTACGCACTGTTGTAGGCAATTGACCTACAGTAATTCATTTAATCCTTAATGATAATCCTCTGAGACTGGTGCTATCATTATCATCTTCATTTTTTTGAGCAAGGAAACTGAGGCACAGAGAAATCAAATTACGTGCCTAAGGTCAGGCAACCAGAGCCAGGAATGGCTTCAGCAGGGATTGGGGTATGTTTTAAACCAAAACAGTACTCTTCCTTCTGAGTGTCCTGAATTAATTCCCCAGGAATATCTGTTTCACCTAAGGAGTGGGTGTGGTGTATACTATAATATAATCCACCCATTTGCTTTCTTTTTCAGGTCATCTGTGGTGAGAGCCAGGAAGAGGGCTTGTCTGGAACCCTGGGTTATTGGCCTCATCACCTTTATTTCCTTAATTGTCCTAGCAGTGTGCATTGGACTCATTGTTCATTATGCAAGATACAGTAAGTATGGGTTGCCCTGGCATCATGTGATTTACCTCAAATGTTTCCCGATCTACATTTCTGTTTTGATTTGCCTCAGGCTTATTCATTCATTACCATAATTTGTTCACTGGATAGTTCAAAAGGATCTTTACCTGCCTGTTATTCATTTAATCTGCACAAGCCAAGGAAGGTTCTTTCTTCTATCTTTGATGTAGCAATGCTTCCTGCTGGGAATATCATGCTAGTTTTCATATTCATTGACAAGCAATAATCAAGTCTTAATTATGGGAAAACCATAGGAAAAGTAGAGTCCAGTGTTTGGCGAGGTTTGAAGTCATAGGATTTTAAATCATCTTGATTTAAAATAACTCCAACTCATTGAAATCCTGACAGTTCAATAAACTATACAATCAGAGATTATAGACTGGTAGGCTCTATTCTGTACTAGTAAGTTGGAAAAATGCTTATAGCAGTATATGTTGAATAAATGTCTATTGTTCTTATTTTAAAATCATCTTGGGATATATTGCAAGTGATTAAAGAAAATAGGATATGCTGAGAAGGTTAATTATAAAGAGGTTCACTCTGTGGTAATCAGGTACCTCCCTGTTAGATGAACCATGAACTCTGCTCTGTTATTAGAAAGGTCCCCAGGGTACTTCAGAACTGTTTTTCCAGGGCATAACAACCCATCTGAAGTTTCTTTCTTACTCTGTCTCAGGTTTTAATTAGTTGACTCCACTTTGACCTGTTGGTTTAATATCTCCCTTAGTGACTAGATAATGCTTTGATATTTAAGACCCTGTAACCAAAAAAGCTAACCACTTGATTCTAATTTAATTGGGAATTTGCAGAAGTTGCTTTCCTGTGAAGAAAGATGGTGATCTGTAAATTGGTTGTATTCTGGTAACAGACACAAATCCAATCTTAATTTCCTAAACAAGGTGGATTATTTCTGCGAAATTTAAAGAAAAAGTATTTAAAGATTTTTTTTTTGAAGGGGGATAGAATTTGCCTACATGCAGATCTTTGAATTTGTAGTATCTACGTTTCAATAATTTCTCTGGAAAGTGTTTTTAATATAAAAAGAATAGTTAAAATGATTTTTATAATTCTATAGCTCTGTTCTGAATATGCTGAGTCTCATTATGCTGCAAGCATCATTCTTCCTCTCCATGGATGTCTAAGACTATGTTTTAAGCACTTTTGTATTTCTAAAACTTAGCAAGTTCCTGGCACATGTTAAATAATTAACATTTGTTGAACACTGAATGATGAAAATGAATGAATCATACCTACGATATTTTCTTAGAAAATATTTAGGCTTGTCTGACTTAACAAGGAATTCCCAGTAATGTTAGGGATCTCATTACTTATAGTGAGAGAAAATTTTCCTTAGTACTTTTCCTTGGCCTCTTTCCAAGTCATGTATTATAAAGCTTACAAAGTTTACTCATATGCATAATACAATAAAAACCTGATAATATTTCTTCAGTACCCTGTTCCTATATATCCTATTGTTGGGATGATCATCTGAGTAATATGGAACACACAACTTCCACTGCCCACACAATTCACCTGAATAAATAGTGATTGTTATGATATGTCTTGCTGTCATATTTGTCACCTATCTTCTGTTTACAGATGTAACATAAAAACAGAGTAGATAAAGCACATGAGCATTTACGAGCTGGCATGCCTAGAGAACCAAAGTGAGCCAAACAAATCTATTGTAGAAACAGGCAGATTAAGATGGAGATGATCAGGCTTGGAAAAACACCATTTTGGCATAAAACCCAGGCAACATAGAACTGTGTGTGCAGTTTGTGTCCAGTGGCCTTTGGGACTATGTTTCTATCCCTTCAGTAACTTGAATAACAGCAGTATGTCTCCTATGAACATCATTGTGGGTTATAGAATCACCTACAATGAATACTTTCCTGTTAGAATATTATCAGCAAACTCACGTTCATCCTTATTTTTCTTACTTTTCTGTTAACACTCTCTATGGTATTTTTCATCAACTACACGTGCCATATAATTCTGTCAACTGGAAATGTGTTTTGACACCTAGCAACCTATTTGACTCTAACAGGCAAATTAAAATATTGAGTATAGTAATTTATTTAGTTGTAGCATATGAAATTGCTGATATTTGACCATTTTTAACCTGTATAAATAGCAATTTCAAATAATACAATCTAATAATTTTTTAAAAAGTCTAAGGATATAGAAGAGTATGTTCATCTCTTCTTTAGAACCTTACTATTCAATGTGTGATTTGGTACCAGCAGCATCAGCAGAACCTAGGGGCTTGTTAGAAATGCAGTATTGGACCCAGCTTTAGACTGAAGGTAAACTATTGGTCACTATTTTAATACATTAAAACTCATACTTCAAATTGTGTATATTGTGATCTGTTTGCATTTCAGGTCACACAGGCCATTCAGGGCCAGGAAAGGAGGAAGGAAAATTCTCCCTAGACCCTCACTTAGGTGGCAAATGCTCAGGAGAGCTTGACCGTTCAGCGCCATCCATCTCCTTTACAAATCACTACTCCCTCCCCAGATCTTGTCCAAGTCTGACCAGTGGCTTCCCTTTCTATCCCAACAAATCCTCAGGATGACCAGAATGATCTGGTAGAGTCTTTATTTTTCTTGATAGCTCTCATACATGACTAGAAATTTCTCCTATAGCTTCAGTGAGTGAGTTTGTTTTTTTCCATTCCAAGAAGCAGTGTATCATGAAAATGTGTGCTTTGGGAGTTAGATCTTAGTTTGAAACACAGTTTAATCTTTTCTGGCCATCTTATGTTGAGGTTGGACAAATGCATGTACGTTTTTGAGACTACAGTCCTTACTGTTAGATGTGGATAACATTGCTTTCTTATGAGGGTTATTTTAAACTGAGTAAGACATGTGAATATGTTAGGGATACAGGTGTCTAATGTAAATTTCCTTTCTCTCTGGTGTTTAAGTGAGAGAAAGAATGAGAAGCAAGAGAGAAACTGAGGTTGAATGAGGCACACTCCATTTTCCTATTATAACCATACACAACAGTCTTGGTCACTGTTGTATTCCTAATGCTTGGCACAGTCTGTCTCACAAAACATAGTCAGCATTAATATTTCATTGAAAGAATCTTCTGAGCTCTGTGCTTGCTTCATGTAAAGGAGAGTAGAAGAAAAGCTATGCTGCATTAACTCTTCAGCAGACCAAAAACTTGGGCTGCTTGAACTGGATGCAGAAAGTGGTGACATTGGCTAAAGAAACAAAAAAAGCCAATGCCTCTGGCTGGAGGGAGAAAATAAATGGAGAGCCAAGGGAACCAGGTGAAACTATGTACTGTCCCTGGCGGGTGACCAAGGGGGCAACTCTAGCTCCTTAAAATTCTATACACTGAACTCCTGGTATTTTAATCCCTACCCTCACCTCCTTCTTTAGCCAGAATAAATTTTCTTATTCTATATCCTTGCAGCCAGAATTGATGGATAGTTTACGGAATTGAAAGAAATCTACTTTTAAAATATAAAAATGTGTTTGCTCTTGGGAAGCTTCTGATTCTATTCCTGTGCTCAGATGGCCTAACTAGTTGCTTCTTGTGGTTTATTCAGAAATATCCATGTGACTAATTAGCCTACAGGAACACCGAACATTTTGTATGGATTTTACACTCTAAATCTTATAATGATTTTACACTCTAAATCTTATAATGATGAATGTTGTTGTCTTTTATTTTGAAATAACCATGAAGCTCAGAGCAGGATGATGGAGATGATTTGGGTGGGATATTTTTTCCTGTCTCAGTCTGTCTCAGTTCAGTCAGTTCAGTCACTCAGTTGTGTCTGACGCTTTGTGACCCCATGAATCGCAGCACATCAGGCCTCCCTGTCCATCACCAGCTCCAGGAGTTTACTCAAACTTATGCCCATCAAGTAGGTGATGTCATCCAGCCATCTCATCCTCTGTAGTCACCTTCTCCTCCTGCCCCCAATCTCTCCCAGCATCAGGGTCTTTTCCAATAAGTCAACTCTTTGCATGAGGTGGCCAAAGTGCTGGAGTTTCAGCTTCAGCATCAGCCCTTCCAATGAACACCCAGGACTGATCTTTAGGATGGACTGGTTGGATCTCCTTGCAGTCCAAGGGACTTTCAAGAGTCTTCTCCAACACCACAGTTCAAAAGCATCAATTTTTCAGCACTCAGCTTTCTTCACAGTCCAACTCACATCCATACATGACCACTGGAAAAACCAGAGCCTTGACTAGATGGACCTTTGTTGGCAAATTAATGTCTTTGCTTTTTAATATGCTCTCTAGGTTGGTCATAACTTTCCTTCCAAGGAGTAAGCGTCTTTTAATTTCATGGCTGCAGTCACCATCTGCAGTGATTTTGGAGACCAAAAAAATAAAGTCTGACACTGTTTCCACTGTCTCCCCATCTATTTCACATGAAGTGATGGGACTGGATGCCATGATCTTAGTTTTCTGAATGTTCAACTACCAAACAAGAAAATGCCTGATGCTTTACACACATCTGATAAAAAGTATGATAAATTTTTGCCTCTTTCCTTATAGATCAAAAGAAGACCTACAATTACTATAGCACATTGTCATTTACAAGTAACAAAGTATATGATGAGTTTGGAAGAGAGGCTACTGAAAATTTCACAAAAATGAGTCAGAAAATTGAATCAATGGTAAGCATTTCCCCCCACTTCTAGGGCATTTGCTATCACTTTCTACCAAAACTTTTAGGATCCTAGCTTCTCAAACATCCGTTTAACTGATCTTGTGTATCTTTGCAAAATGGGGAGAGATCCTACCTGAGAGACATAAAACAAAATTGACAATACATGACTTAGAGGAATATTCCTTAAGGACTAAACCTAGTGAGCTTTAGTCTTTTCTATTTGTCCTTCTTACTTACCCTTCTTTAGCTAGTGATACACTGTTGATCAGCAGAGTCCAGAAATTCTGAGAATGTGAGGGTGACCCAAAACATAGTTGTGTCACTGATTTCTTCAAGAAGAGACCTTTAGCAAAAGACACAAGATTGAAACTGTTCAGACACATACTTGAGAAGTATTTCAGTACTAAAAAGTATCCAACCTTGGACAAGTTTTTAGTACATAAATCTATAGGAAATCCTTGGACATTCATCTTTATCCTTAGGTCATCAACATACATCCTGAGGAATAAAGAAATATTTTAAATAGTGGAAAACTAAGCATGCATGCTAAGTCAATTCAGTCATGTCTGACTCTTAGTGATCCTTGCGGACCACAGCCTACCAGGCCCCTTTGTCTGTGGGATTCTCCAGGCAAGAATACTGGAGTGGGTTCCTGTGACCTCCTTCAGGGCATCTTCCCAACCTAGGGATCAAATCCGCATCTCTTACGTCTCCTGCATTGGCAGACGTGTTCTTTACCACTAGCACCACCTGGGAAACCTTAGCAGTATAGGCCAAAAGAGCAAGAACCTGGGTGAAGGCTTATCATTGTCAGACTACTTAGAGAATAATTTAGAAGTTTCCTGATAGTCTGTGAGGTAATTAGTGAAATGATGTGATGGAAAGTACCCTAAACTAGGAGCTGGGGCACCTACTTCTAGGACCATCTACTAGCCAGTGATGTGCCATTTGGCACATCTCTTTGTCATTCTGGAAAAATTCCATGATGTGAAAATTAAGGCACTAGACTAGAAAATTCCAAAACTATTTTCCAATATCTCGAGAGAGAACAGAATGGCAATGGTCCACCTGGAATCTGTCTGGTAAATTAGAAGCCTAAGGATTTGGATAGTTTGCTGAGGAGAAAATCAAATCCTGGTTGAATTTGTATTTGTAAACACCAAATCAGGGAAATATTAAATAAGCTTTTTTTAAGGATATATATCTGCTTAAAGATATGTATCTATGTGTGTGTGTATATATATATATATATCCTTAAAATGTAATATATAGTAAAGGAAAGGAAATGGAAGTAAATATATTAAGTAAAAATGCAACTATTTTTCTTGTTTTCTGTGCCAGTCACTAAATTTTGTATGAGATTCAGACTGACTTAAACATAAAGGAATATAAATAGGACACTAGTACTTTTTAAAACAAGTAATTTTGAAGTTATTCGATTAAAAAAAAACTTTAAATTTATTTCCAAATGAATGCTGTCATTAGAGGGCTCATTTGAATTGTGCTGATTTGTTCATAGTTGAAGTAATTGTTCTTGGGAACAAAGACTCAGAAGTCAAACAAAATATAAGAAAGAATAAAAAGGCTCATTGTTTGTCAATTAGTCACCAGTTTGTAGTATCTGTGTTTGGTTCCCAGGTGGCTTAGTGGTAAAGAACCTGCGTGCCAATGCAGGAGACCCAGGTTTGATCCCTGGATTGGGAAGATCCCCTGGAGAAGGAAATGGCAACCCACTCCAGTATTCTTGTCTGGAAAATCCCATGGAGAGAGGAGCCTGGTGGGCTACAGTCCATGGCGTTGCAAAGAATCGGACACAACTGAGCAACTAACACACATACACCTATAGGCTATGTGTCCCAGTCCATCTGAGCCTTCCTAAGAGCATCTTGAGTGCTCAATTGGGTGTAGGTTATGACAGGATATTTGGTAATATTTTTCTCCAGGTTTGAGAACCATGTGACACCATTATGCATTCATTCTCACATTCATTATCTCTTCCAAATACTAACCAAGCCTGACTCTGCTTCTGAGATCAGATGAGACCCAGCATGTTCAGGATGGTGTGGCCATGGACTGAATTTATGACCTACCACCTGCCAGAGTTTTTTTTCATTTCCTTGGTCTACCTACAGTAAAAGTCTCCATCTCATAGTGTGAATACGTCTCTTACTTTTCAGAACCCAGTCTGTTTACTCTCTTTCATCTCTTTCCAAGTGTAGCACAGCAGACATCACTCCTAACCCACCTCCTATGGCTCCCCAGCTCATATAATTCCTAAGGCAGAGTTCAGTTGAAATCACTGAACAAAAAGAGACTCCTCAAGTTCAGCAATTGTGAAATGTTGGTCAATGTGTTTTGCTTTTAAGTTTTTAAAAAAATGTTTTAAGCTTTGAATCAGCTTGCAGAATTTTAGAAAATTATCCTTGCTGACATATTTTGAATATTTTTGGAACAGGTGAAAAATGCATTTCATAAATCTTCATTGAGGGGAAAATTTGTCAAGTCTCACATTATCAAGTTCAGGTATGTAGATCTAAAATACCGACTTCTGATTATAATTTGAAGCTAAAGCTGTTAGCCTGGTCAGTAATAAATAGTTTGAATTGTTCATATGTGATATAATTTAACAGGTTAATTTTGTATCTCTTCTGTGTTAAGTTGTGGGTTACAATGTACCTTACTCATTCTTTAAATCCAAAAGAAAGAATTTGCAAGATGATTTTGAGGGGAAAATGAAAGTGAAAGTCTCTCAGTCGTGTCTGACTCTGCAACGCCATGGATTGTACAGTTCATGGAATTCTCCAGGCCAGAATACTGGAGTGGGTAGCCTTTCCTGTCTCCAGGGGATTTTCCCAAACCAGGGATCAAACCCAGGTCTCCTGCACTGCAGGCAGATTCTAAGTGTTATGGGTGGCTATATTATAGAATTGGGTTTTTTGACTTGTTTGTTTTTTGGAAACTAGTTAGAACAAATAGGGACCTAAGCCACACCTCTTGGTTTAATAACAAATAAGGTCCTGTGTAAAATAGTGTAGTAGATGAGGGGTTTTTTTTTCTCTTCTTGATTCTCCTTCCTACCATTTTTCTCTCCTTTCTTTCATTTCACTCATCTTTTTCTTTTCTTTTTTTCTTTTGCTATAAGATTTAAGATCTCAGATCTGTTCATCAGTTCAGTTCAGTTCAGTCACTCAGTCATGTCCGACTCCTTGTGACGCCATATACCACAGCACGCCAGGTCTCCCTGTCCATCACCAACTCCCGGAGTTCAGGGTGAACCCATGCCCATTGAGTCAGTGATGCCATCCAACCATCTCATCCTCTGTCATCCCCTTTTCCTCCCGCCCTCAATCTTTCCCAGCATCAGGGTCTTTTCCAATGAGTCAGCTTTTCACACCAGGTGGCAAAAGTATTGGAGTTTCAGCTTCAACATCAGGCCTTCCAATGAACACCCAGGACTGATCTCCTTTAGGATGGACTGGTTGGATCTCCTTGCAGTCCAAGGGACTCTTAAAAAGAGTCTTCTCCAACACCATAGTTCAAAAGCATCAATTCTTCGGTGCCCAGCTTTCTTCACAGTCCAACTCACATCCATACATGACCACTGGAAAAACCATAGCCTTGACTAGATGGAACTTTGTTGGCAAAGTAATGTCTCTGCTTTTTAATATGCTCTCTAGGTTGGTCATAACTTTCCTTGCAAGGAATAAGCGTCTTTTAATTTCATGGCTGCAATCACCATCGGCAGTGATTTGGGAGCCCGAAAAATAAAGTCAGCCACTGTTTCCACAGTTTCTCCATCCATTTGCCATGAAGTGATGGGACCAGATGCCATGATCTTCATTTTCTGAATGTTGAGCTTTAAGCCAACTTTTTCACTCTCCTCTTTCACTTTCATCAAGAGGCTCTTTAGTTCTTCTTCACTTTCTACCATAAGGGTGGTATCATCTGCATATCTGAGGTTATTGATATTTCTCCTGGCAATCTTAATTCCAGCTTGTGCTTCCTCCAGCTCAGCGTTTCTCATGATGTACTCTGCATATAAGTTAAATTAGCAAGGTGACAATATACAGCCTTGACATACTCCTTTTCCTATTTGGAACCAGTCTGTTGTTCCACATCCAGTTCTAACTGTTGCTTCCTGACCTGCATATAGGTTTCTCAGGAGGCAGGTCAGGTGGTCTGGTATTCCCATGTCCCTCAGAATTTTCCACAGTTTATTGTGATCCACACAGTCAAAGGTTTTGGCATAGTTAATAAAGCAGAAATAGATGTTTTTCTGAAACTCTCTTGCTTTTTTGATGATCCAGCGGATGTTGGCAATTTGATCTCTGGTTCCTCTGCCTTTTCTAAAACCAGCTTGAACATCTGGAAGTTCACAGTTCACATATTGCTGAAGCCTGGCTTGGAGAATTTTAAGCATCACTTTACTAGTGTGTGAGATGAGTGCAATTGTGCGGTAGTTTGAGCATTCTTTGGCATTGCCTTTCTTTGGAATTGGAATGAAAACTGACCTTTTCCAGTCCCTTGGCCACTGCTGAGTTTTCCAAATTTGCTGGCATATTGAGTGCAGCACTTTCACAGCATCATCTTTCAGGATTTGAAATAACTCAACTGGAATTCCATCACCTCCACTAGCTTTGTTTGTAGTGATGCTTCCTAAGGCCCACTTGACTTCACATTCCAGGATGTCTGGCTGTAGGTGAGTGATCACATCATTGTGATTATCTGGGTCATGAAGATCTTTTTTGTACAGTTCTTCTGTGTATTCTTACCACCCCTTCTTAATATCTTCTGGTTCTGTTAGGTCCATACCATTTCTGTCATTTATTGAGCCCATCTTTGCATGAAATATTCCCTTGGTATCTCTAATTTTCTTGAAGAGATCGCTAGTCTTTCCCATTCTATTGTTTTCCTCTATTCCTTTGCACTGATTGCTGAGGAAGGCTTTCTGATCTCTCCTTGCTATTGTCTGCATTCAAATGGGTATATCTTTCCTTTTCTCCTTTGCTTTTCACTTCCCTTCTTTTCACAGTTATTTGTAAGGCCTCCTCAGACAGCCATTTTGCTTTTTGCATTTCTTTTTCTTGGGGATGGTCTTGATTCCTGTCTCCTGTATAATGTCAAGAACCTCCATCCATAGTTAATCAGGCACTCTGTATATCAGATCTAGTCCCTTAAATATATTTCTCACTTCTGCTGTATAGTCATAAGGAATTTGATTTAGGTCATCCCTGAATGGTCTAGTAGTTTTCTCCACTTTCTTCAATTTCATCAACCATCAGTAAATAGAATCCAAGGCATAACATTTAAAGCAAAATACTATATGAGAATCTTAAAATAATGTGTTATCTTCATACAAATTATTTGTAATTTCCAGAATAAAATAGCTGCTATTTCCAACATTTTTTCAATGAAAAAAGCTCCCAGTTGCTCATCAGCCTGTTACTTAGTTGCCCACTTTCTCTTGAAAATTCCATACTCTTTGATGTTCAAAATATTCCTTTTTCTTGGATATGTATCTGCTTCTCCCATTATCAAATTTTCAATCTTTCAAGAGGACTTCATTCACCCACATCATGATTTTCTATGCTATGGAAATCCAAGTTTCTATTTCCAGTCTAAATTTTTGTCCTGGTTCTAGAACTATATGCTTGCCTATGCACACTTCCATGTGGGTGTTTCACAGAAAATTCTCAAACTCAAGAAAACCTAATTAGGCTAATAAGAAACCTGGAAGTCATCCATGCTCCTCCCTTTCCTGGGCCCCTTGAACTTCATAAATAACTATGTTCTACCAATTCTACAGGACTGGGGAAACAGAGACTCTTGGAGAACAAAAATAAAATCTTGTGTGCACCAGGACCCAGGAGAAAGAAGCAGTGACACCATAAGAGAATGAGTCAGGCTTGCCTGTGTGTGCTTGGGAGTCTGCAGGGAAGGTGTGGGTCAACAGTGCCCTGTCGTGGGGTCAGGGGAACTGACTACAACAGTTCTGGGAGGCCTGGCATGCTGGCATAAGTCATTTTGAAGGAGGTCACCCTTACTGCCATTCTGTACAGTTTAGTTCAGTCGCTCAGTTGTGTTCAATTCTTTGTGACCCCATAGACTGCAGCACACCTGGCTTCCCTGTCCTTCACCCACTCCTGGAGCTTGCTCAAATTCACATCCATTGAGTCGGTGATGCCATCCAACCATCTCATCCTCTGTTGTCCACTTCTCCTCCTACCTTCAATCTTTCCCAGCATCAGGGTCTTTTCCAAGGAATCAGCTCTTTGTGTCAGGTGACCAAAGGATTGGAGCTTCAGCTTCAGAATCAGTCCTTCCAATGAATATTCAGGACTGATTTCCTTTAGGATGGACTGGTTGGATCTCCTTGCAGTTCAAGGGACTCTCAAGAGTCTTCTCCAACACCACAGTTCAAAAGCATCAGTTCTTTGATGCTCAGCATTCTTTATTGTCCAGTTCTCATGTACATATATGACTACTGGGAAAACCATAGCTTTGACCTTACAGACTTTTGTCGGCAAGGTAATATCTTTGCTTTTTAATATGCTGTCTAGGTTTGTCATAGCTTTTCTTCCAAGGTGTAAGCTTCTTTCAATTTCATTTCTGCCATTACACAGCCTCATCCATCAACAGAAATTTGGATTAAAGGCTTACTGAGCATAGCCTTGCCCACCAGAACAAGACCCAGTTTTCCCCACAGCCAGTCCCTCCCATCAGGAAGCTTGCACAAGCATCTTATCCATCAGAGGGAAGACAGAATGAAGACCTCAATCATGGATCACAACCTTGCCTAACTCAATGAAACCATGAGTCATGATGTGTAGGGCCACCCAAGACAGATGGATCATGGTGGAGTGTTCTGATAAAATGTGGCCTACTGGAGAAGGGAATGGCAAACCACATCAGCATTTTTGCCTCGAGAACCCCATGAACAGTAAGAAAAGGCAAAAAGACATGACAGTGAAAGATGAAGCCGTCAGGTCAGTAGGTGTCCAATATGCTATCGGAGAAGAACTATTGCTCCTTGAAACCAAAGCAAAGACAAACTTAGACAGTGTATTAAAAAGCAGAGACCTTACTTTGCCTACAAAGGTCCATGTAGTCAATGTTATGGTTTTTCCAGTAGTCATGTATGGATGTGACAGCTGGACAATAAAAAAGGTTGAGTGCTGAAGAATTGATGCCTTTGAACTGTGGCAGTAGAGAAGAATCTTGAGATTCCCTTTGGACAGCAAGGAGATCAAATCAGTCAATCCTAAAGGAAATCAATCCTGATTATTCAGTTGAAAGACTGATGCTGAAGCCAAAGCTCCAATACTTTGGCCACTTGATGCGAAGAGCCAACTCACTGGAAAAGACTCTGATGCTGGGAAAGATTGAAGGCAGGAGGAGAAGGGGATGACAGAGGACGAGATGGTTGGATAGCATCACCAACTCCATGGACATAAGTTTGAGCAAATTTTGAGAGTTGGTGAAGGACAGGGTAGCCAGGCATGATGCAGTCCATGGGGTTGCAAAGAGTCAGACATGACTGAGCAACTGAAAAACAACAACCAATTCTATCTTCCGAATCACTTTCTAATTTGTTTACCCCTTCATCCCAGAAATCTTGCTATTCATTATTCTTTCTTCTATTATCATAATACAAAGATGTGCAAATTTGCTGGAAAGATAAAGTCAGCCTTAGAGATATTGATTTGAGATACTAAGTGATCTTATGAGCCTGAAATATGAGTCTGATATAAGGGAGGAAATGGAAACTGAGTTGAAGACATAAATTTACTCAACATCAGCTCAGAGTATTAGAAAGTGTGGGTGTCAACAGAATTTCTCAAAAAAGGGGTAATGCAAGAAAAAAAGGATGGTGAAGAAAACTTGAGGAATGACATATTTAAGGAAACAGAAGAAAAATATCAAACTAGGAAATAGACAGGAAAGGAGCAGGCAAAGCAAAGAATCAAGAGAGGCACCACTGAAACTAGTAACAGGAAGTTTTAGTGAAGGAGTGGTCAACATTGACAAGATTCCTGAGAGACCAAGTAATATGACTAGAAAGAATCCATGGGAAATGTCAATGAGGAAGTCATTAGTGTTCAAGTAGAGAAATGACTCAGTTGAACAGAAGGGGAGGAAGTAGACTAAAGTGAAGTAAATGTGAGGTAGAATGTAATTTACCCATTCAAGAAGGTTTTCTGTGATATGAAGGTGTGAGGTAAATCCTATAGCTGGGGTAGTGGGAGGTTTTGTTTTTGTCTCTATCAGCCAGCCAGCAGATGAATAGTTTATGGGAAAGAAGAAAAGAGTAAGTAATGGATGTATAGGGGTACTGTGGCAATGAAAAGGGGAATGAGATATATAACAGTGATCCCTTTAAAGCTCTATTTTTCCAGATTACAAAAGCAATATGAAATTGTGTAAAATTCAAATAACATAATATTACAAAAAACAGAAAGCAAAAGTCCCCTGTTTAATAGTTTCATGCCCAGAAATAACACATCTTGTTTTTTTCAAAGTCATGGCCACTTTATTGTCAGTGTGTGGCGGGGGCCTCAGTCATGATAGAGACACAGGAGGCAGCCAAGGAGGATGGGAGGGTATCCATATAGCCCTCCCAGAGGGCCTGGTGCCAGGAGTCATCCAGGGAGTGGACCAGTGCCCAATACTGATTAATCGTTCAACGGCCGGTGGTCTGAGCCACAGGGCTCCATGAACTTCACAAGGTCCACAAACAGGTCTCGGACATCCTTACTGTGGGTCAGCTTGGAGGCCACATTCTCCAGCCCCCAGGATCTGGCTTCCATCTACGAGAAGACATGGAACTTTCCCCAGAGGGTAGTTTGATCTCCTTCAACTCCTGGAGACTCTCCTCATCTAAGTTAACATCCATGTCATCCACCCAGGAGTCCATAATTCCGAGGGTCCAGTTCGGGATCATGAACTCAGCACAGAAGGCAAAATCCCAGAAGCTCAGAGACTGCAGTTTTTTCCTTCTCTGTCTCAAAGTGATTGTTGGCGAAGAAGACAATGGCTGCATAGTCCCTGGCCAGTCACTTGAATAGAAGGAAATGCTGCTGGATGTTGTCGACCAGGGAGCCCTTCATTTCCTCTACCACCTTGAAGACTCACTTAAAGTCATCAGACTGTCTCCAGTAGCTCTTGAGGGTGATGCCGGTTTTGGTTCCTCTGTCATCCAGGTCTTTCTTGGTGCCCTTGGACAGATTCTTGCCCAGCGCCTCCTGCATGAAGGCCTGATCAGAGGCAGAGTCCCTCTAGATGAACAGTGCCTGTTGAGAGGGCAGGATCTGGAAGATGAGCTGGTGCCGCAGTTTTGGTGGTGCGTGGAGCAGGTGCTCAAGCACATGGAAATTACCACAGTGGTCCATGGTGTTGCTCTGGAGCATTGCTGCTGTGGCGCCAGGCTGCTTCAGGATCCCCCAGCAAGCACACCCTCAGGGACACTGCGCACTCACCAAATCACCATCTAGCCAGCGGTGATACACATCCTCATTGATGAGGGTCATATTCCCCATGAAGATGTCCAACTCACTGATCATAGCGCCGCCAAAAGCCCCAGTAGGAGGAAGGACTGCTTCGGCTTGTACAGCTGCCCAATACATCTTATTAGTAATTTATTTTTAATATTTTGCCAATGACTGCATATAGATTTAGCTGACTATATAGTTTTTCACTACAAGTGTATGCCAAGATTAATTTAGCCATTGTCTTTTTGATGGACCCTTGGGTTATTAACAATATTTTTTTGATTTAAAGAGAAAGTTAAGATGCTGTATGTATACATATCTCCTTGCACTGAAAGAGTGTATTTTGAAGATTAAACTTCTAAAAGTAGAAATGCTGCATCATAGAGGATGGATAATCAAATTTATAACAGATAAACTGCCTTGAAAAAATGAGATTCTAGTTGGTATTCCTATCTACAGTTTGGGAGCACAGGAGTTGATGCAGCATACGGGTGAGATATAAGATTCTTTGGGGTTCTGGTTTAAGATGGTGAAGCAGGAAGAAAAAAACTCACCTCCTCCCATGGACTCACTGAATCTATAGATACAGAAGAAACAATTTTCTCTTTAAAAAAAAAAAAAAGGTTGACTGAGTAACTACTGCACAATGGGCAAATGACAAGAAAGTCACATTGAAGCAGGTTGAAGAGGCTGGGACACAATCTTGCCATAAATCCTATTGTGCCACACCAGGAGAAAATCTCAAACCCAGAGATTCTCCCTGATGAGTGAAAAGTTTGAACCCCAAATCAGGCACCTCAAATTTTAGGACCTGTACCTAGAGACAAGCCTCCAAAACATCTAACTCTGAAAATGAACAGGAGTCAAGTGCTAAGTGGAGACAGAGATGGCAACCCACTCCAGTACTCTTGCTGGGAAATCCCATGGATGGAGGAGCCTGGTAGGCTGCTGTCCATGGGGTTGCGAAGAGTCAGACACGACTGAGCGACTTCACTTTCACTTTTCACTTTCACGCGCTGGAGAAGGAAATGGCAACCCACTCCAGTGTTCTTGCCTGGAGAATCCCAGGGACGGGGGAGCCTGGTGGGCTGCTGTCTATGGGGTCACACAGAGTCAGACACGACTGAAGCGACTTAGTAGCAGCAGCAGCAAGTGCTGAGAGCTACAAAGTTGTATCTCTCTAGGAGATGGCTCTTAGAGCGCCCATGCACTTGGACTCACCCTCCTCAGGGCCCAGCACAGTAGCAGCCTATTGCACCCAGACTGAAAGGGAACTGGTTGTAATTGTGAAAGAAGGGGTGGAGTATAGACTGAGAATGAGAAAGAGTAGTCAAGGGTGGTTCCAAAGTGGTAATTCATTCAAATAATGCTAAGGCTCATTAACACTTTATTGTGGAAATAAAATCACATGAAGTCAAGACAACTTGGTCAAACTTTCTAATGTTTTTAGAATTAGGAGTTATTTAGAAGAACCTGAAGATTACTTAGGAGAAGTCACTGGATTTAATTAATCCTATTTGATAATTGTGAATGGTTGACAAGAAAATTGTCTTTTGATGTTAATAACCCAAGTATTTAACTAGATCCTGTGGTGGTAAGGAAGATCATAGGCTACTAGTTGACTGTCAGAAAGGCTGAGATGGGAGTTTTGAAGGTGGCAAACAATAGGAATATTGTTGTTGTTGTTGTTCAGTTCCTAAGTCATATCTGACTCTTTGTGACTCCATGGACTGTAGCATGCCAGGCTTTCTTGTCCTTCACTATCTCCTAGAGTTTGCTCAGACTCATGTCTACTGAGTCATGATGCCATCCAACCATCTCATCCTCTGTCACCCTTTTCTCCTCCTGCCCTCCATCTTTCCCAGCATCAGGAACATAGAAGAAAACAAACTAGATCTTTTAAAATTGCATTTACATATTTTTGTGTGTGTGTTTGTGTTTCAAACGAATTATAAAGAAAAAATAGAGTATGATATTGCCATAAATCTTATTTGTACCTTAACCTTTTAAAACTGTATTTCTCTCTTTTTTTCTTTCTTTTTTTTTTTTTTTGGTCCACAGTCAGGAGGAACATGGAGTGTTGGCTCATATGCTGCTGATTTTTAGATTTCCTTCTACTGAGGACCCTGAAACCATCAATAAAATAATACAACATGTCCTACATGAAAAGCTGCAAGAGGCTGTAGGACCCCCTGAATTAGATCCTGAATCAGTTGAAATTAAAAGTAAGTTTATTTCTTCTAATTCAATTCTCTTACATAGAATAACTTTGGTCATGGGCACTAATCTTTAAAAGTTTTTGGATGTTTTTCATTATGGGGTCTTGCCACCAAACAGAATGCTTCTTTGGGACTAAATTTATCCAAATGAAGTTTTTAAAATTTTAATACTAATTTAAACTTACATCTCCCCTGCAAGTGTGTCATGAACTCATGAGCCAAGATTCTTTTTCTATATTGGGCCTTACACTTTAGCTATAGAATCCAGTGATGAATGGAAAAAGTGGCTCTGTATATTTATTCCTCTTCCTGTTGCTTACTTTTTATGTTCTGAGTGTGATGGCTTATATGCTACTGATTTTTAGATTTTGTGAAAGATTCATGCTATCTACCTATTTTCATTCAAATGTCATTAATAAACCTTATTAGCTTATTCTCTTATGCACTTTGCTGATGAAATGTATATCATGTATCTTTTGGCAAAAACTATTTTTGGTATATTTTACAACTAACTTGAAAAATCTAAATTTTTTGTTTTTGTCAGGGCAAGGGAACAAGATAAACAGTGATAGGACCTCATAACTAGAAAGTGAAAAACATACAAGACCCTCAGGGGAAATATAAGATTGGTTAAAATCTCAGTCATATGCTATAGAACAGTGTTAGTCTCTAGAAACTGTGTACCAGCCACGTGTATATTCTTAAAGTTTCTGGTAGTCACATTAAAAAAGTAAAAGTAAACATGTGAAATGTATTTAATTAATTTATGCATTTAACCCAATATATCCAAAGTAGTACTATTTCAACGAGTAGTTCATTTAACTGTCTACTCGTTGAAATAATAATGCAATTTATAATACATTGTATTCACAATGTAATTCATATTGACAAATAATCCATGTAAATATTTTTCATGAGATTTGAAATCGATTGTATAGTTTATATTTATAATGCACGTCAGTTTAGCCACATTTCAAGAGCTTACTAGGCGCATGTGGCTGGTGAATAAAGTATTGGATATGGCAGCATTAGAAACTACAGAATAAAGCACAAGTAGAAAGAAGGAATAAAAGTCCTAATATAAAAGCTGACAGATGTAACTAGAGACCAAACCTGGTGGTTAGTCCCTCTACTTACTTAGAAATGGCAGCCCCACTAGTCAGGGCCAGCTATTAGTATGTAATTTGTAGAGCCAGTGAGAAGTGAAAGTCTGAGACTCTGAAAAAGCAATTAGACAGTGCTGTTAAAAGTACTAAGATATATGATTTTTCTTTCATGATCTTTCTTGATTTGTCATGGTATTTTTATTTATTAATTAATTATATTCTAAGTAAAAAAGTGGAGAAGGAAATGGCAACCCACTCCAGTTCTCTTGCCTGTGAAATCCCATTGATGGAGGAGCCTGGTAGACTGCAGTCCATGGGGTTGTGAAGAGTCAGACATGGCTGAGCGACTTCACTTTCACTTTTCACTTTCATGCATTGGAGAAGGAAATGGCAACCCACTCCAGTGTTCTTGCCTGGAGAATTCCAGGGATGGGGGAGCCTGGTGGGCTGCCATCTATGAGGTGGCACAGAGTCAGACACAACTGAAGCAACTTAGCAGCAGAAGCAGCAGCAGTAAGTGAAAAAGTCAAAATTTTAAATTAGTAGCATGAGTTTTGCTGTTCACCTTTATATTGTGAAATGTCAATTTCAAATGCAAATATGAAAGCATTTAATTTTTATTTGGAATCATGAAAATTATACAACTGTAATTCATAGCTTATCCATGCATACATCTTGGTTACCAGATCAAAAGAAACACTAGAGAGGTCTAGCTCAACATTGTTTATTTCCCTTCTAGATACAGGCACATTTTACCAGTGCTCTCTACCTTCAGCTTATGTGAGGAAGGACCAAAACATCCTTCTATATCATTATTTTCAGCTAAAGCTTTTGGCTAATACAAATAAGTAATGGGCACAAGAAAGGGTATGGTAGGTCCCTTAGTCATTTGTCTTTATTTGAATGCCATTACTTCTGTAGTGTTCTAAGCAAGTTCTGGTTCAAACAGAAAACTTGGCCTCCTGGGGCTGTCAGTAACCTCTGTTTATATAGTGGTAGACATCACACACTATCTTGTACTCATTTTGAGTTTGCTGAACATTGTGGGTCCATTGGAATTCTTAGTTCATAGGATATCATGAATAACATGCAAAAGGGGTAGCATGAATCCATGGACACATGGCATATATCTCTCCATGCTCAATTATCCCGTCAAACTTCACTTCCAAACACAAGTTATGAGATACAATTATTACGAATTTCAACACAGTGAGCATTAAACCAAGTGCAAGGTCATGCTGAGTATAGGACTTGGTGCAGATACATAAATCATGCATCCATGAAGTCAACTCTGTCAGTGGTATGTAAAAAGAAAGAAAGAAAGAAAGAAATTCAATGAAGTAAATTTAAGGATCTAATTGACTTTATTTAATGATTCATGGATTGGGCAGCACTCTGCCTTAGTGGGCAGATGGGAACTCTGAGGACCTGTACAAATAGAAGACTTTTATGGCTAGAAGGAGGCAAGACAAAGAAGTTTTCTGGCAAAGTGGATTGTGTCAGGAAAGGGCAACTTCATTTGGGAGACAGTGGAGGTCGGCAGACAGATTACTTAACTAGCGCTGACTAGGTAATTCCAGGTTCACTGATTAAAGGTCACCATCCTGAAATAGGTTGAAACTGCAATTAGGCTAGATGTTAAGTTTGGCTTACTGATGTAGGACTTAGCACAATGACTCCATTTTGAGTCTTTTATTTATTTTTCTAATAGTATCAACATGCAAAGCCCGGATTTTCTCTAGGAAAAGCTTGAAATAAAGAATAGAATATTGAAATAGGGAGACTTGTGGTGGTGTTTTTAAATATTTACTGAGAATAAATGGCCACTTCTTCCCCATTTTTTCATTTTCCCCAAATGTAGCCAGAATAAAGTCAGAAGTCTTTCTAGAAAATAGATTTTTGTGAATCAATACTAATAAATACTAAAGAAATTAACATTATTTTTTTTTTTACATTTAGAAATCCTATCTTGCCATGTTCAAAGAAAAATAGGTTCATTCATTAGAAATCTGCTGAATCAGGAAATTTGAGTATTGAGAGTTTTATGTAACTATTGGTTGGTTTATCATTTGGATAAGGTTAGGGCCTGATTGTTGAGCTAAGGAGTCCCTGGCTAGAGTTGAATGACAATTTGAGGGCAAATTGTCTTGCTAAAATTTAGCAAAAGGAAGACCAAGAAATGGACAGCATTGTTTTTCAATGGGAGTGAGAACTAATTTATGGACATGCACTAGGGTATGTTGTACAGATGAAACTACGCTAATGAGTTTGATAAAACAAATAATACAAAAATAATGGTCAATAAAAATATGATTGCATTTGGGGAATCAATACTGCGATTTAGAATAGGATTTCCCCCCTAAAAGCTATGGACTAGCTGCATCCTATATCCTGCTATAAAACTCAGATTCCTGGGGTTCAGGACAAACTCAGAATTACTGGGAAAAGGAAAAGGAATTTACAGTATAAAGATGCTCTTTAGGTGACTTTCAGCCACATTAAAGTTTAAGAAACTGTTCAAATCTCCCTTCTCCCCAAGAAAATGAATATACTATGTCTATGATAAACTGTGCTGCTTTTTGAAAGTTTTACATCATAGAGATACTATCTTTTAATGGAATTGAGCAAACTTTAGTATTTTAGGTACTCAGAGGCATTGTGAAATTCTCATGTGCAGACCCTGTTCTATTGACCATTTCTGTGTGTTTCAGAAATCAACAAGACAGAAACAGACAACTTCCTGAACAATTGTAAGTTTAACACACTTATTAAAATTGCATTACCTGAATGAAAAAAGTTAACTCTAGATTATTTAAGTTTATTTTATCAGAATTATGGGGTCAGAATAAAGTTTGATTTGTGCACATCTCATGGTGTTTATCTTACCTCTGAAGGTAAGGTTTATCTCAACTTTTATTGAAAAAGGATAAAAACTAGGAGGATTTTGAAATGGATGTATGGGGACTGTGGCAGATGTGTAGTAGAAGTGAGTGGTACAGTTGTTAAAGAAAAGGCAAAAATATTTCTTAACATTCTGATTGCAGATATCTACAATATATCCTCATGAAAATTTTCTAAAGATTGTATAGAAGTAATTTGTACATTAATATTTTTCAGCTGAAGGCAGAAACTTAGTGCTACTCCATACTAAATAAAATCTTGATGTTATTAATCTCATATTATAAAAATTGCTGACAATTATGGGACTGGGGTTCTCCAAGCCAGGCTTCAACAATACATGAACCGTGAACTTCCAGATGTTCAAGCTAGCCGGTTTTAGAAAAGGCAGAGGAACCAGAGATCAAATTGCCAACATACACTGGATCATCAAAAAAGCAAGAGAGTTTCAGAAAAACATCTGTTTCTGTTTATTGACTATGCCAAAGCCTTTGATTGTGTGGATCACCATAAACTGTGGAAAATTCTGAAGGAGATGGGAATACCAGATCACCTGACCTGCCTCTTGAGAAATCTGTATGCTGGTCAGGAAGCAACAGTTAGAACTGGACATGGAAAAACAGACTGGTTCCAAATAGGAAAAGGAGTACATCAAGACAATATATTGTCACCCTGCTTATTTAGCTTATATGCAGAGTACATCATGAGAAACACTGGGCTGGATGAAGCATAAACTGGAATCAAGATATCTGGAAGAAATATCAATAATCTCAGATATGCAGGTACACCACCCTTCTGGCAGAAAGCAAAGAAGAACTAAAGAGCCTCTTGATGAAAGTGAAAGAGGAGAGTGAAAAAGTTGGCTTAAAGCTCAACATTCAGAAAAGCAAGATCAACGCATCTGGTCCCATCACTTCATGGCAAATAGATGGGAAAACAGTGGCAGACTTTATTTTGGGGGGCTCCAAAATCACTGTAGATGATGACCGCAGCCATGAAATTAAAAGATGCTTACTCCTTGGAAGGAAAGTTATGACCTACCTAGACAGCATATTAAAAAGCAGAGACATTACTTTGCCAACAAAGGTCCATCTCGTCAAGGTTATGGGTTTTCCAGTAGTCATGTATGGATGTGAGAGTTGGACTATAAAGAAAGCTGAGTGCTGAAGAATTGATGCTTTGAACAGTGGTAATGGAGAAGACTCTTGAGAGTCTCTTGGACTGCAAGGAGAACCAACCAGTCCATCCTAAAGGAAATCAGTCCTGAATGTTCATTGGGAGGATTGATGTTGAAGCTGAAACTCCAATACTTTGGCCACCTGATGGAAAGAGATGACTCATTTGAAAAGACCCTAATGCTGGGAAAGATTGAAGGTGGGAGGGGAAGGGGTCGACAGAGGAAGATATGGTTGGATGTCATCACTGACTTGTTGGACATGAGTTTGGGTAAACTCCGGGAGTTGGTAATGGACAGGGAGGCCTAGCATGCTTCAGTCCTTGGGATTGCAGAGTTGGACACGACTAGCGACTGAATTGAACTGAAGTGCTGGAACTGGGATATAGGTGGATGAAATTACTGAAGGCCCAAATAATATTTTCACCCATATTTTAAAGGTACTGACTCAAGGCACAGTGTTTCTTCCTCCTATGGCAGCATACCTTACCATTATTTAGAGAATATATTTGATATTTAACAGAATTACACAATACCTTTATATTAAAAGATGAAAGGAAATGCACTACTCACCAGCTCAGAATGCTGGTTAATTCACAGGCTTAACTAAATGTAAAACCAAAGAATAATCCCATTACATGGCATATCTTTTCTCTACTAGTATTTATTGGGGACTAGCTATGTACTAGTGCTGTGTTAGTCAATAGGGACATAAAATTGATGATTTAATCCTTGCTTAAAGCAGCTCACACTTCAATGAGACTAGATATATGAGACTAACACACAAACACAGAATTACAAGACAGTAGTTCTCAAACATGGAGAAGAAAATAGCGACCCACTCCAGTATTCTTGCCTAGAGAATCCCGTGGACAGAGGAGCCCGGTGGGCTGCTGTCCAAGGGGTTGCAGAGAGTCGGACACAACTGAAGCAACTTAGAAGCAGCAGCAGCAGCAGCATCTGTTCTCAAACAGGGGCAATTTTGACCCCCCCAAGTGTCTATGTCCTATTGTGGCATTTGGGTTATCATGATGGTTGGGGGGCAGGGATGCTACTTGTATCTAATATGTATAGGCCAGGGATCCTTTTAAACATCCTGTGATGCAAAAGACGGACCCCCACAATGAAGAATTATCCATCTGAAAATGTCAGTAATGCCAAGATTGAGAAACTCTTGTTATAAACAATATTCTATTACTAATATTAGATATATATACATATAATAATATATGTACTAATATATATTAATCTGTTGTATATAGAGATAAATATATACATATGTATATACATACACAGGCTTCACAGTTGCCTTAGGGATAAAGAACCCGCCTGCCAATGCAGGAGATTCGGGAGACTTGGATTTGATTCCCATGTCAGGAAGATCCTCTGGAGAAGGAAATGGCAACCCACTCCAGTATTCTTGCCTGGGAAACCCCATGGATAGAGGAGCCTGGTAGGCTACAGCCCATGGGGGTGCAAAGAGTAGGACACGACTGAGCATGCACAACACAGTTTGACACTTAAAAACAATTGCTAACAAATGCATCCTCTCTTCTGCAGGTTGTGGGACACGAAGGAACCAAACCTCAGAAGAGAGTCTCAGGATTGTTGGTGGAACAGAGGTACAAGAGGGTGAATGGCCATGGCAAACTAGTCTGCAATGGGATGGGATCCATCGTTGTGGAGCAACTTTAATTAATGACACATGGCTTGTGAGTGCTGCCCACTGCTTCAGAACGTAAGTATTGAACCTTGAAAATGATTGGATGGTGGTGGTGGTTTAGTCGCTAAGTCCTGTCTGACTCTTGCGACCCCATGGACTCTAGCCCTCCCAGGGTCCTCCATCCATGAGATTCCCCAGGCAAGAATACTGGAGTGGGTTTCTATTCCCTTCTCCATGAGAATGACTAAGGGTAAGCAAAGTGCATTGGGCTTAGTAGGATGGAAATACCTCATGAGAGATGAGTTTAATACAAATTAAAGATTATATACATATGTATGTATATGCATGTTTTATCACAAAGGGCTTCTTTAGTTGGTAAAGAATCAGCTTGTGATGAGGGAGACCTGGGTTCAGTCCCCGGGTTGGGAAGATTCCCTGGAGAAGGGAAAGGTTACCTACTCCAGTATTCTGGCCTGAAGTATTCCATGGACTGTATGGTCCATGGGGTCACAAAGAGTTGGACACAAGAGAGTAGGAAACACATAAATGTTAGTAAGAGGTTTTATAGTCTAGAAATGGAAATGGTATCAAAGAACATGTAGCTAAATTATCCACTGACAATTACACAGTAATTTATCAAAGGAAGCAGGACTTTGAGAATTATCTCTGGACATTGAGCTTGGTGTGAAAAACAAGAGCCGTTTCTCACGTAGATTCTACATATCTACCAGAGATAGATGCTAAGTGAATTGTAGTTTTGATACTGATGGAGAAATTCTAAGAAAAAATTAAATACAAAGAAATTTTGTAGTAACAAATTATATTGATACAACTAAATAGATTGATCAGTTATATTTCAAGGAATTTTGATTCAATCTTCCAACCCATTGCAAGATGCCTGAGGTATACAGGATAAGTAATGCTCTGTTAAACTATTGTGTAGCAGTTTTGATTTTCAGAGAAATGTGTGGATAGGCAATATGGTGCACACAAATGCATATATTTCTTTCATTCTGTACATGATGTGCTTTCCATATGTCCCTTGGAGTCACTGATGCCCAGAAATATCAAAAGGCCCTAGGATCTGGAGTAGGTGACTCAGTATGCAGAACGGAGTGCACATCCCAAGACATGCATGTTTGTTCAGTTGCTCAATAATGTCCAAGTCTTTGCAACCCTGTGGACTTTAGCCCTCCAGGATCCTCTGTCCTTAGGATTCTCCAGGCAAGAATACTGGAATGGGTTGCCATTTCCCTCTCCAGGGAATCTTCCTGACCCAGGGACTGAACCTGCATCTCCTGTGTCTCCCTGCATTGGAAATTGGCCTCTTTACCACTGAGTCACCTGGGAAGCCCTAAGAAACCTGACACAGTGACCTTTCCACCTTATCTGACCCCTGACCCTTAGATTGGAAAGCATTTGTATCTATGCATAGAAACTATAATTTTAAAAGGAAAACTTACTTTGACAAGTGTGTGCTAAATTATTTAACATAAATAGTTATATTAGTAACATGGTAAAGTGGGATTTGTTCCTCATACTTTGTCCTCAGGTATAAGGACCCAGCCAGGTGGACTGCTTCTTTTGGAGTCACAATATATCCTCCAAAAATGAAACAAGCCCTCCGGAGGATAATTGTGCATGAAAAATACAAATATCCATCGCATGACTATGATATTTCAGTCTTAGAGCTTTCCAGGCCTATTCCCTACACAAATGCAGTACACAAAATTTGTCTCCCCGATGCATCCCACGAGTTCCGCCCTGGTGATGAGATGTTTGTGACAGGATTTGGAGCACTGCAAAATGATGGTGAGCATCTGAGGAGAAAGTCAAATCATAGTAACCTAATTTGGTATGCTAAGGCATTTAAAGAATGGAATGCCATTATGCCAAAATATGTTGGTGGTTTGGTCATATGGACCTGGGCCAATCAGGTCCTACTTGGGAACTAAGTGATTTAGGAGATATGTAAATTCCTTCATGCTTTAGGTTACTTTCAAGTACATCACTACAACTATAGTAATGGTGCTTGGTAAGATGGCTGAAAGAGTGAATATGTCTGAAATTTTTACTAGGGTAATAACCACATAAGATTGTGAAGTGGGAGTTTTAGTTGCTTACTCGTGTCTGATACTCTTTGTGACTTCATGGACTGTAACCTGCCAGGCTCCTCTGTCCATGGAATTCTCTAGGCAGGAATACTGGAGTCTTTTTCCATTCCCTTCTCCAGGGGATCTTCCTCACCCAGGGATCAAACCTGGATCAGCCACACTGCAAGCAGATTCTTTACTATATGAGCCACCAAGGTATTAACCACATAAGAGATTAGGGATCATTAATACTTACGCCTAATTGTGAAGATCAAAGAATCATAAAACTACCATCTTTCCCTACTGAAATTAACTTCTAAGCTTAATAATGACATAGAAATTACTTAAGCAACTTGGGGTTCTTTCCTAGGCACCTAACTTCATTTAAAATAGTTTTACTTCATTTCCCAAATACCACTGTATCTGAAAAAATACATTCCTAAGATTCTATGTGCCAGCTCATCTAATAACTACTTATAAAAGACATTCTTCAGGTTTATAGAATATATGTATATATATAAATATGAAGTCTATTTTGTTCCTTTTAGGTAGCAGTCAAAATCATCTTCGGCAAGTACAGGTAGATCTTATAGACACTAAAAGCTGCAATGCACCCCAAGCTTACAATAATGCCATAACTCCTGCAATGTTATGTGCTGGCTCCTTGAAAGGAAATAGAGATGCTTGCCAGGTAAGTGATTGGCTGCATAATTTTTGTTCACCTTTTATTTTGAAATAATTACAGTTCTACAAGAAGTTGCAAAGACAGTACAGAGGGGTCCCCTATAACCTTCACCAAGTGTTCTCCAGTGGTCACATCTCATATAACTAGAGCAGAATATAAAAGCTAGGAATTGATCTTGGTACAAGGTGTACTTCTTGGCTTTTTATCACATGTGCAGATTTGTGTCATCATCACTGCAGTTAGGAACTCTTCCATCACCACAGAGATCTTTCTCCCTTTATGAAAACATCCATTTCCTTCCCCCATCACTTTATCATTGCTAACACCTGGCAATCACCAATCTGTTTGCCATCTCTATAATTCTGTAATTTCAAGACTGTTGTATGAGTAGAATCATACAGTAGCCTTTTTTCAGAATTCCATTTTGATTTTTTTATAGTTCTGCTGTATATACAACTATTTTTAAGTGGATAAATTAAGATTTTTAGTTGGAGTTTCAATATCAAACTCTCAAAAATTCATAGAATAAGTAAACAGAAAAGTAGAGCAATATAGTAGACCTGAAAAACACCATGATTTATCTATTAGTGTTTCTAACCATACTCTCTCTTTGTAGGAAAATTGTGTGGTTCCTCTAAGTTAAATACACATAACTTATCATAGTCTACTGGTGTTGAGATTTTACTAGTTTGAGCTGGATTTAAATAGAAAACATACTTTCCCTTAAGCCTCTTTAACCTTTCATCATTCATAATATTAAATTTAATAAATATAAATATTAAATATTTCCTCTATAAATACTGAGAGCCACATCAGACACGTTTTGGCTTCAAGTGCCAGATGTAACTTAAGAGGAGAAGGAAAGTCTATTTACTCATCGTCTGTTTTTTTTTCCCTTCTGATTTTCTAAAATTTTTTAAAAATTATTTTTAATTGGAAGACAATTGCTTTACAATATTGTGTTGGTTTCTGCCATATGTCAGCATGAATCAACCATAGGTATACATATATCCCCTCTCTCTTGAACCTCCCTCTCACCTCCCGCCCCCCAGGTTGTCACAGAGCACCGGGTTTAAACTCCCTGCATTATACAGCAAATTCCTACTAGCTATCTGTTTTACATATGGCAATGTATATGTTTAAAATTCTTTTTATATCATTTCTTTTCTGTTTCAGAAACTTCCTTTAGCCATTTTTTTTTAGTGTAGATCTGCTAGTGTCAAATTCCCTTAGATTTTCTTTGTTTGTAAAATTCTTTATTTCCTATTTATTTGTAAAGCATAATTTTGCCAGGTATATAATTTATGCTTGACAATTTTTTTTTTTTTTTTTTTTAGTGCTTAAATCATGGCCTCTGTAATTTATAATAGGAACTTGCTGTTATTGGAATTGTTTTTTTCTTGCAGCTGAAGTGTCATTTTTTTCTTGCTGTGTTCAAGGTTTTTTCTTTGTCTTTAGTTTTCAGAAGTTTGAGTTTGTGTCTTGGCAGGGATTTCTCTTGGTTATACTGCTTAGGGCTTGCTCAGCTTTTTAATCTGCAAGTTTATGCCCTTTGACAAACTTGGGAAAGTTTCAGCCTTTATTTCTTTGAAAAATTTTCAGCTTCATTTTGGAATCCAATAATAGGTATGTTAGCTCTTTCATTATGCTCTCAGAGATCTCTGAGCATCAGTTCGTTTTTATTCCCACTCCTCTTTCTGTGTGTTCAGATTGAGCAATTTCTATCATTCTATCTTCAATTTCATTGATTTTGTTTTTATTTCCATCATCTCCTTCATATTTCTGTTAAACATTTCTAGTGAGTTGTTTTTTTTTTTTGATTATTGGATTTTTTTGTTTGTTTCATGATGGTAATTGCCCATTAAGACATTTTTGTGATGACTGCTTTAAAATCTTTGTCAGATAATTCCAACATCTGTCATCTCAGTGTGTGTCTGATTGATTGCCTTTTCTTATTTGAGTCAAAATTTTCCTGGTTCTTGATATTGGGTGATTTTCAGATATATCTTGGACATTTTGGATATTATGAGTTTCGGCATCTTATTTAAATCTTCTGTTTTTACAGGACTCCTCTGACATGCCAGTGGAGGGGATAGGGGAATGAGGTAGCACTTCCCCCATTCATTGTCCCCTGACACCAAGGTGGGGAAAGAGACCTCTGTTATTGCTGGATGGAGGTGGAATTGCAGGCTTTTCACTAGGGTTTCCTTTGTGGCTCAGCTGGTAAAGAATCCATCTTCAATGCTGGAGATCCTGGGTTTGATCCCTCAGTTGAGAAGATCCCCTGGAGAAAGGAAAGGTTACCCATTCCAGTACTCTGGCCTAGAGAATTCCATGGACTGCACAGTCATAAAGAGTCAGACACAACTGAGCCACTTTCACTAAGTGTGGGGTTATTTTTTTAAGATTGGAGAAAATTATTAAATTTATTTTATTTTTTGGCCGTGTGGTGCCCAGCATACAGGATCTTAGTTCCCGACCAGTGATCCAACCCGCGCTCCCTGCCCTGGACTGCCAGAAAAGCCCCGAAATTTATTAAATCTAATTTTTTTAAAAAGTATATACCATTTTTCCTCCTCACCCTTCTTGATGGAGGAACAGAAAATCCCCTCACACCCTCCATTTAGGGGATTTCACATATAAAGTCTGGGATGGTGAGGATGAAGTAAAAAAAACACCATTCTGGATGGGGACAACTTGTTACTGCTCCCCTTGTGGCCTCCACTGACATCATGGGATAATGCCCTTATCAGCGCTTGGCTCTCCACTAGGTCTGTTCTGACATCAGCCTAGAGGGAGAGAGAGTTCTGCCTTATCGGTCCTGGGGGGTAGTTCATGCTCCCCAGCTGGTTACCACAGGAGAGGAAGAGGAAGGCTTCATCATCACCTGGCAGGGATGAAAGAGAGGCTCCCCACTCAGCCTCCTCTGACACCAGTCAGGTGGAGATTACCTTACAGAATCCTTATATTCTGTAAGGGTGGAAGTCCAGTCTCCCCACTCGGCCCTTGCTGATGGGGTTGGGATGGGACCACACTTTTTTCTGTGATTGACTCACAGTGTGTACACATCACCCAGTTTATACATTATCAACTCATGACCAATCTTATTTCATTCCTACATATTTTAACCCCAACCTTCTTCTTCCCATTCTCAACTCCAAATCTATTTTGAAGTAAATCACAGTTGTTTATAATTTCATTTGAAAATATGTTACCTCTTCTATTAATACAATGCCTTTTCGATGATAGTATTAGATGTGAATGTCTCATAAATTTGGGGAACTAAAGAGGAGAAACCAAGTTTGGCTGCTTTTCTGTTTCAGGAGGAATCTGGTACTTCCCCCTCTCAAAAATCATGAATAACTTTATATGCAGAAACCTTTACTTGGGTCTCTTCCTCCCTCCCCTCAGTGGCATGTGGCTACCTCCTCTTAAAATATGATCTTGTTTTGGGTTCTATAATCCTGAAATATGCTGATTTCCTCCCCCCCTTTTCCAACAACTCATTTCTGGTTCCTTATTTTGGTTTCTCTTTATTTCCCTCTCTGCCTGTCTCTAGGCCTGGTTGTTCCTTAAGACTCATCTATTTTTTCTCTACATATACCTTCAAAGAAATTACCTTTCCTTTAAGTTAGCTGTCACTTTAATGTCTTCCAAATCTACATCTCCAAAATTAATCTCTTGCCCAAATTCAGTCTCACATTCCCACATACTCCCAAACCATTTCCATTTACATGTTTTAAGTTGTCAGTATAAGACTAACTTTTATATATGTGCCATCTTAGACTCAACAGGCAGTCAGCTCAGTTGCTCAGCCATGTCTGACTCTTTGCGACCCCATGGACTGCAGCATGCCAGGCTTCCCTGTCCATGAAATGCTTTTTTTATTTCAAGTTTCTCATTTATGTGGTTGGCTTTCATTATTCTTGAAATCTTTTAGTTTTAAATCTCTTTCACATGTAATCAATTAAATCAGACTATTTTCGCCTTACTATTTCTACCATATTTATCTCCTTGTCTCCATTCTTTCTGTTAAGAACTTAATCTATTGCTTCATTGTTTCATATCTTAATCACTAAAACTGGTTTCTTATTTAGCTTCTGGCTTTAAGTTTCTGTTATGATATGTACATTCTTTTGTAAAAAAATTTAGTGGAGTAGTTGATTTACAATGTTGTGCTAGTTTCTGCTATACATCAAAGTGAATCAGCTATACATACCCATATTCTTGAATAAACTTCCTGTTCTGTTTCTCATTAAACCACTCACTAAAAATAACTGCATTTAAGGGGGAAATAGCAGTAGATACAGACCAATGGGCCCCTCAAAACTTATGCAACTTTGTAACCAGAGAATTAACAACATCATCAACAGCAAAAATAATTATACCTTGAAAAATAACAGTGTAGGTAGGCAGATTGCCCAGGGTGGTTGGTGGCTGACTGAGGGAAAAGTTAAAAATGCGCAAAAACAATAGAGTAGAAATACTGGCTTGTTGAGGATGAGACAATGCACATGGGAGTGTAGCTCTGGGCAGAGGAGGAAGTACAGCCTGGCAGGACCCGAGAATTAAGCAAGGATGGGGTGTGCCTCTCTGGGTAGGGAGAAGGGTTCTTGGGCATAGACACTCCACATTTTCTTAAACTAGAGCCTCCAAGGCTTCTGCCTGAGCAGTAGCTGAGCTGAGACCTTTTTTTCCCTGGAAATTGTAGCTCTACTCTCATTATTCTGGTTCCCTTGCCTAAGTCAAAACACCTGTAAGCCATCACAACTTCCACTTTGTACTGATGTAACTCCCTATTCACCAATCACACGTGAGCTAACTAGTGTTAACAGAAACAGCTGTCTCTTTCTCCATTTGATACTTGCTGGACATCACCTTACTTTTCAGCTTGTATTGCTGTTAGACTCACTGCTGGCTTTTTTCCTTAATTACTTTATTATCAGACTCATTCACTCCTGTCTCTTAATCAGATTTAAGCTTTGTAGTTTCTGGCGTATTCCATTTCTTTTTCCTAATCTGCTATGTCTTCACATAGGCCTGGGTGCCAATTATCTAAATGATTTGTTATCCGATAGCTTCATACAGTACACATTGCTTCTATCAGTAGATTGTACACTCCTTGAGGGGAGCGCTCATGTGTTTAGACTCTTTTTACATCTCCTACCACGTATGAGAGTATAAGGAAATATACTTATTGGTTAATTGATTTAAAAATTACAAACACATTATATCTAATTGAGTCATTATTAGTATTAGTTAATACTTTTATGTAGATGAAAGAAATTAGTATAATGTAAGGGAAAAAAAGCATGGACTTAGTGAAATCACTCTGGATATTGAATAGCATGTGATATCAGGAAAATTGCTAAACTCTGTTAGTTTCAGCTTCTTCATTGCTAAAATAGAGATAATGAAACCTAACTCCGTGCTTTGTTGCCAGAATTACACGAGTTAACGAAATAATGTATTAATTATTTAAGCACTTCATATAGTGTTGAACATATAATGAGTGGTCAGTAACTAGAGATCCCAGGATTTTGGGGGAAGATCAGTCAGCACCTTGTTTTTATGACCCATATAAAAGAAATAGCCTACTGGTTTTCACAAGGCATAAATAATCGGACTTTGTGGTTATATATACATATTCACTAAGTTCCGTTTTGTGCCAGGCTCTATGCTAAGCACATTATGTACACTGTCTTACATAATCTTCAAAATTATCATTGCAGGTAGGTATTATTAGGAGCATTAGCAATAAGTAAATTAAAGGTCTTAGCCAGCTTGGAGGGGCCAGAATTGAACTTTAAACCCGGGTGTCTGACTCTTGATGGCCAAGCTTTTATCAATAGTAAACTCCTCACCCTTCTTTTAGATGTGTCTACTGATAGAGTGTGGGCGGTTATTTGTCAGATGTATCAGATTGGGGCTGTTCTGCCAAGAGATGGAGTCTTTCATCTCAGAGTACTGAACCCTGAGTCTAACCAGCTCTCCAAGCAGAGGAGCTCCTCCTTTATGTTAATTACTGGCATAGATAAAGGGCATCACTTCTCATTTGAACACACTGAAGATTTTTAAAAACTGCCCCTTTCATTAAACTCACGTTAGAAAATAGCACATTTCTCTGTAATAAGCTGCATTATTAAATACTAGTCTCTCCCTTCTCCTTTAGGGTGACTCTGGAGGACCTCTGGTTAGTCCAGATGCTAGAGATATCTGGTACCTTGCTGGAATCGTGAGCTGGGGAGATGAATGTGGGCAACCCAATAAGCCTGGTGTTTATACTAAAGTGACTGCCTTCCGGGACTGGATCACTTCCAAAACTGGTGTCTAAGAGAGAACAGCCTAGCAGAATGGAACACACTTTTGTGTACAGGTCATTCTTAGAGGTACAGAATTGCAGAAGTCATCATGCAGGTCACCTAGATCTGACCAATCAAACTAAACCACCTGCTATTTCCTTCCTAGCTCTGCTCCACACACCATCTTGCTTCTACCAGATAGATTCTGTCTCAACTTGCAGTCACTTGTTTTTCTAGAAGTTTTCTGTCATCAAATTTTGACTTGTTGACGTAAATCTCTCTCATGCGTGTACATAGTTTGAAGTGACCCCTTCCTTCATTTTCCTGGCTTTTCTCAACTTGGTAAATTTCCACTTTCTAGGTGCAGAACAAAGAGTAAAATGAAATATGAAAAGAAAAAAACTACATTTTTACATACAGAAAAGTATTAGGTGTTTTTTATTAATGCAGTGAAGAAAATGATCATAATCATTATGAAAGGTCAGGTAAAGAGACAGCAGAAAACCAAATACTTAATGATGGTGAAAGAATGGGAACTAAGTTAAGGAAATAAAGAGAAACCAAGATATAATTTATTTGCATTTCCAGCAAACTGACAGAGATAAATGTGGGGAAGATTCTATTTTTTTGTGGCCTATAATAAGTATAAAAACTCTATATAATGTATTTGTTTTAAGTTAAAGCAAATAGTATTTATTTAACATGGGACTACTGAGAATTTCAACATATGGTAATAAAAAATAAATATCATCAATTTGCTTGACATTATGATAATCCACAAAGAAGGGGAAGATGGAGAAAATGTTACTCATCAATTTACTGCGAATTCCTTTCAAATCTGAGGCTAGAGTGGAAATATACCTAAGAACAAGCAGCATACATTATGTGGTAAGGTTTTTGTATGGTTGGATGGAAGGAAATAAAAATAGAATCTGTATGAACTATTGAATGAAATGGTATTATCACCAAGAGCTTATGTGTTTGTATTTAAAGTTTTTCCACATTGCATAGCTGTGAAGGGAAATAAGGTCCAGGTATGAGTGTGTATAGTTATAAATGCAGCTACAGGTCAGACCTCTATTTTGAGATGACTGTGGATTCCGGCCTCACCACTCCACCTCCTTGCCCTCATTTCCAGTCCGTTCTTACACCATGTGTCTCAGACTCTCCTCTGGGCTCAGATGAGAGGATATTATGGGGAATTTATCCTGGAAGATGCCTCCCTGTTACATCTAGCATGACACTGAATTGCTCACCGCCTGGATAGAAAATTGATGGAAAAAACCTAATGTCAACGACCTTCCTGATTTCAGCTTTGATAAATTACTATTGAGTTGCTAGACATACAGCATTCAAGTGATGTAGGCACTATGAAGCTAGGATTGGTTTCATGTTAGTGGTGAGATTTCACTGAATCTTTGCATTACCCTTTCCTCATTGTGTATAACTACTCATATGAGTTCTGTATTGTACCATAACCACTTTGAAAGAAACATTAGTAGAAAAAAAAAAATCCACCTAAATAACATTGGCATATGAACTGATACAATTTAGACATTTGGCTAAAATATAATATGAAATCTGACATGAATTGACGGTGTTAAATATTTTGTATAAATATATTTAATTTATTGAATTCTTTTGAAAAAATTGAGGAAAACGAATTTTAAAGAAAGAGTTTAGTACATTTCCTACCATTTCTCTCAGTATTCCTCTTGTTTGAGTATACATCACAGTTAGGCCTCTAGGTGGCACCCGTAGGCTGTAGGTAAATAAAGGGAAGCAAGCTCTTAGGGTGTTCAAGTAATGATGAAAGCTGTAGTAGGCATTCTGTATCACGGTCTTGTAAAACCAAAAGAATACAATTCATCTTTAAGAAGGTGTTTAAAAATTAATCCATATAAATTGACAGCATGTTAGTATGTTCCACATTTCTGGAGGTAGTTTCCAAATTAAAGTAAAATCTACAAAGTGATAGGAATTTCTTTGGCAAACTTGAAGAGATTTAAATTAAGAAGAAATTTTAGAAATCTAATTTCACAGTGACATCATATTTCTCAGAGAAATGTTTCTCAAAAGATCTTAGAGGTTTGGCCATGGTGAATATATAAGTGCTAGTTCAAACTTAATGGGCACAGAGAAATAGATAAGATAGTATCATATTTTTAAATGACAATTTTCTTTAAAAGTTAACTTCTAAAGGATTTCAGATCTTCCCTGGTAGCTCAACTGGTACAGGAACCGCCTGCAATGCAGGAGACCGGCATTCAATCCCTGGGTCGGGAAGATCTGCTGGAGAAGGAAATGGCAACCCACTCTAGTATTCCTGCCTGGAGAATCCCATGGACAGGGCAGCCTGGAGTACAGTCCGTGGGGTGGCAAAGAGTCGGACACGAACGAGTGACTAACACAACAAAGGGTTTCAGCATTCCTGAACTTGTCTTTTTTAGCCATTTCATTGGAGAAAGTTAAGAAGTCATGACTGAAATAATATTTATTAACTGTGCAAGAGGGCGGGCATTTCTCAGCTATATTTTCTCTCTTCCCACAGTACCTAGTAAAGTGCTCTGCATATAATAGTCTTTCAAGAAATGTTGTTGAACTGGCCTTTTGTTTTTGTATTATGCAGAACGTGTAGCTTTGTTACTATTTACACATCGATTTTAAGAAGTAATCTCAGATTTTACACTGTGTGATATAAGCCAGTTGTTTAAACACACTAAGTCTCAATATACTCACTTATAAAACAGGGATAATAATATTCACCTCAAATGAATGCTGTATAGATTAAAATGAGATATTTAAAAGTGCTTAACAAAGTTCTTAGAACATGAATGAATGAATGAATGAACGTGAAGTCGCTCAGTTGTGTCCAACTCTTTGCAACCCCATGGATTACAGCCTACCAGGCTCTGCTGTCCATGGGATTTTCCAGGCAAGAGTACTGGAGTGGGTTGCCATTTCCTACATAGCAGGTGCTAAAGAAATTGTGCTATTATAACTGTTGCTGTAAACTACAGTGTTACATGATTCCTACTTGATTATTAATAGATTGAATAAGTATTTTTAAAATAAAAAGATGATTAGATCAACAGAATAGGCTGGTTTCTTGTTTAATTCTAATTCTACAAAAGAACTTTTATTGAGATCATTACAAAACATATTACCAAGTTGTTTGTTATTCTAATTTTTCATTTCAACTTTTAAAAATGATAAACCTTTTTAACTATAGAGCTACTGAACCATATGAAGATCTACAGTCTAGTTCAAATGATGTTTCCTCCATGAGGCCTTTCTCGACTCTCTCAAGTGAAGACATTCTTTTTCCTGAAATTTCTGACCACTTAAAATAATTTTTTATAATCAGATAATCATAGACTCACACAGAGCTGTAAAATACATGCATGCTAAGTTGCTTCAGTCGTGTCTGACTCTGTGCAATCCCATGGATGGTATCCTGCCAGGCTCCTCTGTCCGTGGGATTCTCCAGGCAAGAATACTGGAGTGGGTTGCCATGCCCTTCTCCAGGGGATCTTCCTGACCCAGGGATGGAACACATATCTTTTATATCTCCTACACTGGCAGTTGGGTCTTTTATCACTAGCACCACCTGGCAAGACCGGAAATATAATACAGAGAGATCCTATGTATTCTTTATCCAGTTCATAGAAATGGTAACATCTTGATTAGCTGTGGTACAATATCATAACCAGGAAGTTGACCATGAGACAATCGATCAACCTTATGAGAGTTTATGTTTTTAAAACATGCAATTATTTGTGTGTGTGTGTATTTAATTCCATGTAATTTTATCTCACGTGTGGATTTGTGTGCCATCACCAAGTCACAAAGCAGAAAGTTTGGTCAAAGGATCCTTCATGCTACGCACAGCCATCTGGCATCATCCCCATCCCCATTCCCGGTCTATAATCCCTGACAAACATTAATCTGTTCTCCATCTATATAATTTTGTCTAAGAATGGTATATATTAATAACTGGGATCATATAATATGTCTATTTGGGAGGTTGGCCTCTTGACTCAGCACAATTCCTTTAAGATCAATCCAAAGTGCGTGTGTTGTGCCCACACATGACAGTTCATTCTTACTTTATCGCTGTGTGTGTTTCACAGCATGGGTGCACTGCAATTTGTTTAACCATTCATACACTGAAGGGCATTTGAATTGTTTATAGTTTTTGGCTACTATGAATAAAGCTACTACAATATTTGTATGTGGATGTGTAGGTCTTTGTGTGAACATAATTGTTCATTGTTTGTATCTTTCCATTTTTTTCTCAAAGTGTTATGCAAATGCACATCAATTGTCAACCCTAACTTCCTTTGTATACAAACTTTATATTTACCACTGTTTCTGCTGTACCATCCTAGGCACTCACTGGCCACTTAGAAACTTTGCTGGGCCAATTATATGTTCAAATACAATAAGGTTATATCTTAATAGGGTTGTTATATTAATATCCTTTTATGTAAACATAGGAAATTTAATAATCAAATTTTGTGACATTCAATAAATTCACAAAATATTTTCAAAGAAATAGATTTTAGCAGAAAGCAAGTGCAGCAATGATGTTTATTAAGTCTAGAATATTTCTCTTATTAGTCCTAGCACTTCTGGTGGTGTAAATTGACAAATATTGGTGATGTTCAGATTTCTTTCTGCAAAAAGACGCAGTCATATCATTGATTGGCTGACTTAAAAATAACAGAAATTTGTTTCTTGTGGTTCTGGAGGCTGGGAAATCCAAGATTTCCCAGATCAAGGTGCCAGTTATAAAATAAATAAGTACTAGGTTTAATGTACAACATTATCAATACAATTAACACTAAAAAGTAATTCTATATTTGAAAATAAATGTGAGGACATTATTAAATAAATTGCATGCAATGTCCCATTACAAATGGACTTTTTGGACCAAAATAGACATTTCTCCAAAGAAGACATACAGAGAGCCAAGAGGCGTGTGAAAAGATGCTCAACAAAGCTGATTACTAGAGAAATGC